CTCCCCCCCTTCCTCCCCCCTCTCCCTCTCCCGAACCTCGTGCCTGCCTGTAATATTTTGTCAAAGAGTGTGGTTTGCTGTTTGCTGCCTACAGAAGGAGCACGAAATATTATTGTCATCGGGACCGCGGGACCTAACATGATTGGACCTCAAAGCAATTCGAAAAAGGGTGCCGATTCTTCAAGTGTTTGAGTCACATCCTGGGCACTGTCAATCGAAAGTGCACCCTCCTTCTGAGAATGAACAAAAGAAAAATGTTATTGATACGCCGGTGTGAACAAATTCGTTCACACTGGCGTATTAAAAATGCATAAGCAGAGCACGTACACAGAACTCAGTAAGCTATGAATAAAAATGTTTATAAGCTTTTAGTGTGTAAGGGATTTGCCTTAAATTTTGAAGGACACCTATGTTTGCACTAATCCATATTCGTCCTCGCACACAAGTAATAACTCTCAGCGTAAGGATGTCCTAAATAGTTAAGGCCCTGAAGTTAGAATTGAGATCAATTCCAACACTGTAAAAAATATCGTCGTAAATTTACAAAATTTTTGTTAACTCGAATTATAATTTAAGTCGTAAATTTACGACAGAACATTTTTTACTCGTCAATGGATTTAAAGTCGATAGGAACTGCATGTAATTTTACGATTCCAAATTGTAATTTTACAACTTGCGTCAAGGAAAATTTTCCTGTAAACCTACCTACTATTTTTCACAGTGCAAAGAGTATTGCACCCCTTTTTCGTGATGGTTGTTGCAAACACTAACACTACCATTAGTAAACTCGTCGCTTAATGTTCCAACATTTCGAGACCGCGGCGTTAAAAGTGTCAGTAGGTCGTCTGTTTCGATCGCTCTTCGGCATCCTGCTGTCACTGAAAGAACCTGAAAATAAATGCAGTGGCCAATTCACTTCCACAAAACAGGTAAGGTGGTTTGAAAGACGCCTGGAGATGTTCGCGCAGCTCAACGCAATTGGTTTCGTAACCCGAGCAAACGAATTCGCTCTAGTAGGTAATTTGTCACCCAGGCAGCTGATAATAGGCCCAGCCAAATTTTCATCTGCTAGAGATCAATATGATTAGCTATAACTATCACAGAATGAGCTAATCCGTTAGGTTTGACAGCAAATATTTTGTTTTGCGTTTCGTAAACTCGTCGCATGTAATATCCCACAATGTTTCAACTTTTCAACTTTGGGAGACTGGCGTTAAAAATGTCAGTAGGTCGACTGTTTCGATCGGTTGTCGGCAGTCCTGTTTCGGCTGTTCCTGCTGTCAGTTACTTAAAGAACCTAAAAAGGATGTGGCAAACACCTGGACAGCGGCCAATTTACCACCACAAAACGGGTAGGGCGGTCTGAAAGCATTCGGCGTTCCGAGATCGTTTCTAAAAAGAAAATGCGATAACGTACAGCGTCTTGAAGCTCAGTCCAGCACAGGCCACGCGCGTGGTCACCAGGCAGTCTTAGTGCAGCGCCGGCATGGAGATGCTTGCCGTCCTAGCGCTGCTCCTCTGCCCAATGGGCTACGACGCCGTCCTCCCGGGCCCTAGGCCAGCCCCCGACACACAGGGCGTCGGCGACCTGGTGACGTCCTTCCTGTCAGGCAGCAAAGGTGGCGTGTTCGTGAGTGGCAAGAGCCGAGCCCTTGGGACGTTCCTCGGGCAGCTGCCTCCGGAGACACCCAGGTCGCTAGTACTCTCCAAGAACACCACCGGCTTTCAGCGCCTCCTCCTCGATCTGGTGTCGACCGAGGACATGATCCTGATCACCGGGGACACCGCCACCGAGATGGCGAACGCTATAGCCTCCACCTTCCTGCCGGGGCTCTCCCGGATCCTGCTGTGGACGTGGGCGCCTAGCGCCGAGGCAGCGCTTGCGCACCCGATGCCCACCTCCGTGTGGCTGTTCGGGAAGCAGACCGCCCTGGCCGTGTCCACGCCGGACGGCGGCACCACGCTGTTCACCCTTCAGGCCCCCGTGGCCGTGAACCGGACGCGAGCTGACGGTACCTACACCGTGGCCGAGGTGGACAATTGGTCGCCTCGAGTCGGTCGCTGGCTGCGGCGAGCCGCCCCGTTCACCAAGCTCTGCTCGACGTGGAGAGGCGGTGAGCCCCGCCTCTTGCAGGCCTTCCGGCCCGCCCTCTTCGTGGCGAACACCAAGCCCTACGCCGACTTCGTTTCCACCATAGCGCACGCCTTGAGACTTCGCTTGGAATGGTTGGACGAGGAGGACGATCACACGTTGCGGCGCCTGTTGAACACGTCGCTTAACTGCACCCTCCCCGCTGTGCTCTCGTTCCGCTCCCTGCCGCTGGTACGCCGTCAGAGTATGCGCAATGGTTTTCTCTTCTTCTCCGCGGTGCAGGTGGTGGTCCCGGCCGGCATGGACCCTCACGCCACCCTGCTGCAGGCCGTCACGAACGAGTTCTCCCCCTGGTTGTGGTGTGCGACGGCCATCACCCTGCTAGGGGTCGCGCTGGCCACGGCTTTGGCCACGGTGGCGGTCTTAGGCCGGCCGCTGGCGTCGGCCCTTGCCAACGCGCCGCTGCAGACCCTGGCCCCGCTGCTGGTCCAGGCTCCCCCCGGCAGGACCGCGCACCGGCCCCTGTCCGCTGTCTGGCTGCTCATGAGCGTCGTGCTCGCGGCCGCCTACCAGGGCCTGCTGCTCAGGGAGCTCACCACCCCGCCGGGGGAGATCAACAGCCTGGAGCAGCTCGAGCAGAGTCGGCTGGACATTCAAATGAACTACGAACTACTTAGCTATGCTTCGGCGATCCTTCCCGAATCGGTCCGGTCCCGGGTGAGGTACATCCCGCCGCAAAAGCTGGCCTCGGCTGTGAGGACCGCGGCGGAGGAGCGCTCCACCGCGGTGATCTTACAGATGGGCTTAGCCTCCCGCCTCCTCGTATCATCGTACCAGGCAGCTCGACCCAAAAAGCTTCACTCGTTTCGAGTCGGAGTGCCGTACCTGAGCGCGAGGGTGGGCTACACTGCCGGCTGGCCCTTGCGCGGACGCCTGGAGAGGTTCGCGCAACTCATCGGCGAGCACGGACTGTACCAGCAACTCGACAATGCCATGGCCGTCCACAACAGAGTCAACCTGCACCCCACGTGCGAGGAGGTGAACGAGGGCGGCTTGACGCGGGCCCTCAGCCTGCGCCAGTTGCGCCCTGCTTTCCTGCTCCTCGCCTACTGCTACGGCGTGTCCGCGGCCGTCTTGGTCTGCGAGATCATCTACCATAAGTGGTTCGACAGACGGGGAAGGGAACTAGTGTCTGTGCACAGCACAACAATGGTTCAACAGATTTAGTTTTGGCAACGTTATGTATTACAAACTTACAATTTATGTCTTTTTACTACATAGCTTGTCGACGGGTCCTACGAGAAGAATACGATCTCGCCGCGCCGAACCAGACAAGTACGATCTCGCCGCGACAAACCAGAAGAGTACGATCTCGCCGCGACGCTCCAGAAGCGTACGAACTCATTTCGCCGCGGCGCGTGCACTCGGAGCTTTAGACGCCTCTTACTCGTCGCAGGCATGTCGCAGCAGTTTGGGCGATATTCCATTTTAATGGCAAAACAATAGGGATTAAAATGAG